AGCAGCTTCTGGCAACAGCGTGAAGACCTGCGGGATCACGACTTATGCAGAGCACCGGCCATGCGCGCAATCCTATTCTTTTTCCACACACAACAGACATATGCTCACGATTGCTTCCACGGGGTTGTACATAGGTGTGGTGCAATCGGTAACAGTGCTCTATACATGGCACAAGGGTTTTTGTCCTTCGCAGCCACCCCTTGAGCAGCGGCGAATGGCACAGGCTTTGACATCACGCACTCTGAACTGCATAGAAGAGGTTTTCTGCACTCCTCCTCCATCCGTCTGCTAAGACAGGATTGATTATCTGTCTTTGAGTGCGTTGATCAAGGCACTGATCCTTGAGCGATCGGTCCTGAGCGTATGCTTCCAGGATAAGTCCCTTACTCGCCATAGCCATAGGACATACTTCAACTGCTTGACGGTAGGCCCATTGTAACGCATGACGAGCCGTGCTAGCCGATCTCCAAGACGTCGTGCTTGATCTTCCTTCACCCCTGAGACTGGAAGTCCTTCAGTCCTCAAGCCTTCTTTAAGGTGCTCACATGTCATCAGCATGCAAGTATCTATACACACACGAGTCACCTCTCCTGGAAGTTCTTGCTCAGATTCTGAGGGGCACGTAGGGGAAGGAAATGTAGGCATTCTCGATCTGGGGCTTGGAGTCCTACGCTGTCTCATTGGAGTTGTAGTCATAGGTACTCTATTCTCTGTAGGTTGAGATCCTTCATTCGCCACGATGGTTCGTCCAGACGAAGAAGAGGAAACTTGCTGTTGTGGTGGGTGGAGGTCTGTACTTGTTTCTGTCATAGGTACTCCTCCTTGGGCTTCTTGCTCCATTCCTCCAAAGCTCCTCCTCTGCCTTCTCCCAGACGTAGAAGATGACGATGTAGTTCCTGCTGAACTCGCGACCTCCTCGGCTTCTCTTTGTAGCCGCTGCAGCTCCCGCTCTATGGCTCTGGTCGTGGCCTCTTGAAGCTTCTTCAGGCGCTTCAGCTTCCGCTTACTCGCCCCAGGCATCCACTCGTGGTAAAGCTCAAGAATCGACCATCGAATGCCCTCCCACACCATTAGAGCACCAAGCAACATCAGCAGCACCATAAGCATGCCCGCCATGTCCCAGTCAAATTGTATTCCTTGTCCCCTTTGATCATGTGGAGTTTGCTCCGTAGCTCTTGCTGACACCACCAACAAGCAACACACCATAGCCACCAGCATTCGCGAAGAGGTAGAAGATCCTGAGCCACCACTGACCCTTTGAACATCACCAACTCTCCACCATTGCAATAACGATGACATCCGTGCTGAGCTTAAGGCTTTGGTAAGAAGGTCAGCTGGCTGTCGCTCTCCAGGACAGTGTCTTGTCGTAAATATTCCATGGCTTATTTGTTCTTGTAGCCAGGCCGACTTTATCTTTAAATGTCTTGTTCTCCAAGAACTAGATCCAGTCGATATAGGCAACGCTGCCGTACTGTCCGAGGCGATTTGCTTTTCCTCCACATGGATACCCATATCCAGCAGTAGAGCTTCTACTCCCTTCATTGCTATTGATCCATCGATGATCGCCAGGAGCTCTGCTTCTGCGGTAGAAAGCGTTACCATCTGCTGACGTCCACTTCGCCACATGATTGGTGACCCGCCAAACATCACAACCCAGCCTCCATGTGACCGGGCTCCTTGTGGAGCATAGGCTGCGTCGCAGAACATCACCAAAGTCTCTTCACTCCATTGCAGCCGTAACTGGTATCCTGACGTCTTCTGAAGATACCTCAAGGCCTTCATTCCGATCTCAATGACCTGCCTCGGCTGGCGTAAGCAGAGAGATGCCATGATGGACGTCGTATAGCTCAAGTCTGGACGACTCCGCTGAGCCACCCATAACACTTCCCCCGTTAACTGCTGAGCCAGGTGTACCTCCTCCTTGGTAGGCTCGCTCAGCTGCTCCCTGTCCGCGACGAGCTCCTTTGAAATAGGGATCTTGTCGACCGCTGGGGAAACATCATGAAGACGTAGTAGTTCTTGTATATATCCCTGTTGTCCTAGCCCGATCTCATTGGGGTACTTCTCGTCAACTTGCAACTCCATCCCAAGGAATCTTATCGGGGCACCAGGCTTCAAGAACTCGAGCTCCGATGTCTCCCATATACTTTGTACCAATTTTGCTATTTGGGTAACCGTAGTTGGAGAACCACAGATAAGGAAGTCGTCGACGTACACCAGCACAATGGCTATCATCTTGGCATCCTCATTCACCACCTGCCACCAACTCGTTGCCGCGCAGCCTTGCTTGAACCTAAGTCCTCTTGGAGGCTCACTGGTCTTGAGCGTGTAGTCTCGGTAGTCGCCCCAAAGGGCGGGTGATTGTCGCAAACCATAGAGGGCCCTAATCAGGGCCCACAACTCCATCTTAGTGGTCAATCCCATAATCTCCAGCAAGCGTGGAGGCTGAACCACCACCACAGGATCCGTTGGTGACCTTCCCATCGGAGTACGGAGAAACGCTGCCACGACGTCCAGCACCGCCACCGCCCACTGATATCGCACCGCCAGGGTCAACCCAGCGCGTACTGATTCCGCTGGTGCTGCCTCTGTGTAGACTGGTGCACCATCTTCCGCAGCCATGTTTCCGCATACCACCAACCTTGCCTTTCGCTTGTACCAAGCTCCATCGCTGCTTGGCTTGATAGTAAAGACGAACTTCATAGGTAATCGCTGTACCTTTGGCAAACTCAACCATCTCCTGCGCTCATCTGAACCTGGTAGAAGTCGGGTGATGCCAACCTCGATGGTCTTCAGCTCCTTTTCAATAGCCGGTCGCCATACATCCAAATTGGCCATCACCTCAGTGGGATTCACCGTGTACGTAACATCCAGCGGGCCCTTCAGCTCACTTAAGACCTTCTCGATATTCGGCGTATACACTACCTCGGTCTTCTTCATGCAAGGAGATTGTGACCAGTCGACTGAAGCATCATCAATCTTGACTAGACCAGATCCCACATCCAAATACAACATCCATTCTGGATCTGCTGGGTCATCGGGTACCTCCTCAATCACCTGGGTTTTGTAGGCCTTCAGGGAGAATTGCTGGGCCTCTTCATTTTCGTAGAAGTATCGGAAACCCATAATCATGTAGGAGCTCAACATCATCTTGACTCAGCTTTCCCAGGCACTGTGGAGAATAGGCTATCAAAACCATTCGGTCCCCTTCCCAGTCACAAACTTCATGAACTCTGCGAGGTCCAAACTGATAAGCTTCCCCAAGTCGTAATGGTAGAAGTTGTCCATAAATGTTTTTGTCGCCCACTGCTCGCTGGTCAATCTCACCCTTCACATAATCCCCAGGCTTGAGCTCAACCCATAGTTCTCCTCCTCGAGTGGGTACTTCAATGGGAATCAGGTAGTTATAGGTGCAAGGGTCGTTGTTGAGGTCTTTGTGCAATGGCCTTTTGGTGTTGTACGATACCAGCATAGATGTGAAGGCTGCTGTGGGCTCAACTTCCACAACAATCCGAGTCATCATCCTTGTCAGCGCTGGATCCTCCTTAATCCCTTTCATCCAACCAACTGCACCTCCATGACGATATACTCCAAACTTCTTGTCATTGAAGAAAGACATCCGCGCTAGTTGCTGTATTACGCTCATCGCTCGCTGAGTGTCCCAGTCTTCCAGAACTGCCCGCACCTCTCGAGCTGCCCAGTCCTTGATCTCCTCTGCGCTGAGGGTAACCGTCTTCATCTCAATGTCCTCCACACGTGACTTCTCGGCCAACCTCCTCCTCGGTTTTGGAATGTCGCTGACCAACTCCTCCTGCGGTTGTCCTGGATCGACCAGATTAGGGCGTACATGAGCTGTATGAAAGAACTTCTCCTTTTCGTCACCGTCGGCTGGAACATATACCAAGTGCCCATGATGTAATATTGAACTGAGACCAACGTAGTGTCCTTTTAGCCACTTCGACTCCAGTCCATACTCCCGACGCTGTGGACCGTCTCGATCAAAGGGTTTTTTCTTCAAATACACCATCGCTCCAAATGGCGCTGCTAGGTGACTTTTCCATCCCAGCACCCTCGCCCTCTGCTGAGCTGATGCCGCTGCGGCTGCAACCGGCCATAGCCTCAACGGTAGCGCAGATCCTCGGAGTAGGGTCCGTACTCGATCCTTGGCCCAGCGGACAGTTGTTTCCGCTCGCCCATTTCCTTGTGGAACTCCAGGCTCTGACCAGGTACCAAATATCCCTTGTTCCCGTAACCATGCTCGGAAACTATGGTTGAAGAACTCCCCCTTGTCTGCATGAAACCTGTAGACAGGAAAACCATGGGACTGCAAATATAACACCACATCTTGCAGGGCTCTTTTGACAGTTCCAGATTGATTGTTTGGTAACCCAATACTGAAGGTCAGGTATGTGCAATCTGGTGGTATACAATCTCCCTCTAGCATGACTCGGTCCATTGGTCCCAATTGCTCCCCAATGTCCTTGTCCTCATCCTTTTCCTCTTCATCTGGTAAGGAGGGCTCATAGTCCATGTCGTCTTCGTAGTCCACGACAGCGTTCATAGGCAGGGTACTTGGCAAGGCGCTTGACTCCACCACATCAACTGTCTCCTCCTGGGCTAAGGTCTCGTCCTCACCAAACAGCTCCTTTAGCTTGTCCCTCTGCTCATCAGTTAAGGGCGCAGGTATGTCCTTCGACGCCTTTTCCACGCCATCATCTGGTGGAGGCTCCACACCCGAGTGCAGCTTGATGAAGGACTTCGGGACGGTGTACTTTGCGACCAGCAAGTAGCGAAGGTTCCGACCCATTGTTCCCTTTGAGGTAGGATCTAGACCCTTAGTCAAAGGTCCTGCTGCATCCGCCGTTAGAACATAGGCTTCTGAATGATGTACCCGTCTATGCTGTCGACCTGTACCCCTTGAGGTAACACGAGTTGCGCATTCCTTTCTGTAAACTTCATGATTGCTGGCCACGTGCTCCTGCCATTGCGTAGGCGTCATCATCATAAGTCGTGGAATACATCGCGGATTTCGGCTCCAAAACTGAAGGGCTACCACAATTGCATCGACCAAACCAGAACACCAAACATAATCACTTGGGCCCGTCTCTGGAACATCACTGTCTTCTGGTAGTCGAACATCATCCAAAGAAGTCAGGTTGCTGATGTTTGTACCCAGTGTTGTTCTATTTCTGGTCTGTGATCCCATTGCTCCTTGATCGAAAGAAACTGTCTGGATCCCATACTCCCGCTGGAACCTTTTCCACAACTTCGTCTCCCAGAAAGAAGCTCTTGCATTCATGGAGTTTTGGCCAACATAATTTTCCCACCGGGGTTCTTGTACTTCTTCCCAGTAAACTCTGGTCTCTGACCATGTAGCGACTCCGCCTCGTCCCACCGGAACCCTGGAAGCCTCCTCGAACTGCTGAATCTCCATTGCTTGCCGATCTCGCTCTGCTTGATGTAGTCCCTCGGGATACTCCAGCATGAAACCCACATCTCGGTTCTTGTTGATCACGCAGTTACTGAGCTCGCGTCCCACTTCCGCCATCATGTAGAGGAACATCATTCTGGCCACAAGAGTCATGGATTTGACGTCCCGCTCTCCTCCTTGGCATCTTTGCTTCGCTCTACCTGGTGGACCACCTAGAATCACATCGATCTTCCCATGCTTTGCTCCCCATAGAAGCATTCTCCATGTCTCATCACGCATCACGTCATGACCGGAGCATCTGCTGACATCCAACTCTATCACTGACGTGTCACCTTGATCAAGCTTCATTATCTGCCAGTGACCAACTTGTCCGGCGTATAGGTGAACAATCCACCGCTTGCTGCTCATGAGTTTGCGCCGCTGGTGACGTGTCAGAAAACCATTGAGCTTGAAGATGTCCCAGCCATTCTGGAGTCCAGCGCCTGGTACCAGGCCTGATATGCACTCTCCTGGCAGGTCCTGAAAGAATGGTGCATCTCTGACAGCCCTTAGCCCCGATTCAAACGATCCAGTGTGCACATAGTCGTACAGGTAGTGGTTCCAGTGTTTGTCCATATTGATGGCCGCCACCTTCAACTGATCCTTTGTTGTTAGCGTCGAGTTAGAAAGCTGCTCAATCTTTCTGTCTTCCAGCCTGGCTATCAGCGCTAAAGCTTCCAGCTCCTGTAACTGAGGACATCCACCATCCACATGAAGAGGTACTCGATCGCCATCTTGGGACTCCAGGTAGCATGCCTCCTTGTTCCATACCATGGTGTATCCCAGTGTTTGGATCAGCTGTCCCATGGGAACTATAGTCTGAGCCTTATTAAAATCATCCAGGCCCTCACCCATAGCTCCAACCTTCTTGTACGGCATCAACAGGGTACCAGCTTCAGTAATTCGCATAACCAGCTTGTGATTTCCTGCCAGCTGAACAGCCACTTCAGACGAGGTAGTCCACTCCTCCTCAGATCTAGCCGTCCTCAAACTGTGGGTTGCACCGCTGTCCACGAGTGCAGTTGTTGAGGCACTAGCTGCACACACCCTTATGTCCCTCAGCTTCAAGGTTCTCATCTGAGGTCTCGCAGTCTTTTCCGGTGAGCTTTCTCCAGCAGAGTCCGTTGACGCAGGGTGTACCACTTGTTGCGCAGCTTGTATCAGTGACTCTAGTGTCCATGGAGTCCCTGGGATAACTTCTCCACTTGGCAAAGACGAGGAGCTTGTGGTACTCATAGTCGCCATAGTGCTCTGCGTCGACGGAGTTGTGCCTTGGACTGCTGCTGCTACCGCTTTGGTACTCCCTCGACCTTTGGAGGCGGCTGCGCGAGCTTGGGCTGCGGTTTTCCCACCGTGCAGTCACACTGTCTGTGGCTCTCTGAACCGCACTTCAAACACTTCTTCGAGCGCGTCTCTTTGTCCATTCCTGCCATGCTGTGAGAATAAACGCATTTTTCCCCCCTCTTGCATCCCGAAGCTTTTGCAAAGTAGCGGCGTAGCTCAGATCCAGGCTGAGTCCTCCCTCCTGCGTCTCTGGCCTTTGGCGATGTCGCTTGCTCGACGGCTCGCAACTTCGGCTGCGAAGAGGCACCCGAGGCATCCTTTTGAGCTGCAAGCATCACTTCCAGTTCAGCTTGAAGGTGTCGCTGATACGATAAGACCTGGTCCAGTGTAGGCCTTGCATCCAACCTAAGGGTCGTTCTGAGCATCGATGTCCTGAAGCTGGCGTCATTGGAGGTAGCAATATGGCGATCTGTCAGACTCATCAGCCCCCGCGCTAGCACGCTGGGGTCCGGTGGCACCATATGTACTTTCTTGCATCGCTCCATCCATCGGGGCCATGCACGTACTGCCTGCAAAGTCTGTTGTAGCGAATCTCCACTCACGAACTCCAATGGGCTCTGCAGTCTCTTCAACACATCATGTCGTTCTGCTCCTCCTCCCGGCTGGTAATATGTATATACTCTAAACATCATCTTGACGCAATTCTGGGTTGCGCGTCTCGCCACCATATCAGCCTTTAGGCTTTCGTTCATTGAGTTGATAATCATAGCCGCCGCGCGAGCATTCACCCGTGCCCACCGTCCTGTTGTCCAGGCTTCGGTTGCCTGTGGCTCAATACTCAACCTCTCCAGTGGTGACGACGCCAGCCATCGCTCATACGTCTGCTCCACTTGCTCGATAACACCACTCCACCATGTCCCACTCGCCTCTGAAATGTCTGACATAGTAGTAGCCGAAATTTCCAACCAATCTTGGAATGTAAGTGCAGCCTCGGCACCATCCTTCATCTCTGGCATAGGGGTCAGCGGAAACTGTCCTGGCTTCACTGTTTCTGGCGCTCCTAAAGTCGTAGCTTTGGACAAAGCCTGCACTTGTAGTTCCTGTAGTTGCTGTATCCCCTTAGCCAGCGCATCCAGCATTGTAGGACTCGGTATCTCTGACTGCTGAGGTCTGGGAGGAGGCGTTGGTGACCTAGCCCTTGCATCCCACCATGTCCGTAAGAGCCCAGGGGCTTCCATAGAGAACATCGATGTCTTCGGCGTAGGATCTTGGGGCCGCTCACTCGTGGCTCCACTCTCGCCCCCACCTTGAACATTACCATGTGATTCTTTGGCACTACGAGGATCTGTAGGACCGGGTGGTAGTGTATGACCTTCCCGTGCTGGTACACAGTCATGCTCAGGTAGTTGATGCTCAAATCTTGTACCGGGCACGTCTTCTGGAGGTACTGGATAGCCTAATAGAGGTCCAGGGTCAAGTGGTAGATTAGGGTTACCCAAGAGTCCTGGCTGCCTTGTCATTGTCATAGCTTCCGCACCTTCCTGCATTGCTCTAAGCCGCGCTCTTGTTTCCACCAGTTCATCATAAAGCTGTTTGTTGGAATCCCCGTACTCCTTAAGCTGTACCATAACTCCTTGTAGCTGCCTCTGCACCTCTGCTTGTATGGCTTCAGCTGGCACTGAGGAGGACGAAGGTGGTGTAGGAACTGGTGGTGTTGCTCTCGCCCGGCTCGGAGATCGTAGCCTGAAGGTTGTTCCTCCAGGAGGCGGCGTCAGCACCGGGCTTCCCGCTGGAAACGGGCTCGGCGCCAAGTCTGTTGCCATCATACCCGACCCAGGTACCTGTAGTAGGCTCCCCAGTCGGCTCATCCATCTCGGGACATCCATTCCAGCTAGCCACGCCGTTTGTCCTGCTCCCCGTTGCCCAGAGAACGACCTTGGCGTGGAAAAACCAAGCGATGCTTCTACCGCAGCACGATCTGGGTCACTTGGCTGCAGCTCGGATCGCCCACCAAGGTCTGGCATCGTCGGAGCACGTTCTTCTGTCTCCGCCTGTGTCGCCTCGGCAGTCTCCAACACCACAGGTGATTGCCCAGCATCATCACTCCTCGATTCCAGTAGCGCCGTCACAGATGACCCCACTTCCGGAACTCGCTGCTGCCCACCACTTGTATCTGTTGCAGCCTTGGGCCGCATTGGCTCACTTTCACCTGTCAGTACTTGTGGGGCTGGCTCATCACGAACACCAACTCCATTAGGCACAGTGGTAAATAACGGTTGGGCACTCATAACCTAGAAATCTTCAAACAAAGCAGCTTCTGGCAACAGCGTGAAGA